AGCTATTGAATATTGTATATCTTATTCTTTTCTAGAAACTGTTAAACACACATGCACAGAAAAAAAGAAAATAGTGGACATAAGTTTCCTTTGCAATTTAACCGCTCAGGTTGGAAAAGTCTTGCCACTTATTTTCTGGAGTTTTTTGTGCACTCCAAGCAGTGAAATTTAGATTTTGGTGTTAAAGACCCAGAAAACTTATCTTTTGTTTTCCTAGTAGCCTGATAAACATTAAATTATCCTTTGATGTATTTAAACGTTGGTAGTTGGTTGAGCTATTAAAAAGCTTGATATGAAGTTTGATAGAAACTGTTTTAAATGGAAATAAAAATATATTCTTTCATTGACACGCATGATGCTGTAGGCTTCTGTTGGCACAGAAGCCAACAGCCATCCAGGATCTTTTTCAAATGTGTATGTGAACAAATCACAATGAACAAGCGGAGTGTATTCCTCCAAATCATTAAGTGCATGTAATTCTCTCATTCTAAAGAAATACCACATAAATTTAAAGCATTTGAACAAGATGCTTCTGGCTTCTGGGCTAAATTTAAAGCATTGAACAAGATGCTTCTGGAGATCAGTGAACTACTGTATTTAACATAGGTAGGAAACTGGTGCTGTCATTTTTGTGAAGAAATTGTTAATGCTGTTTTAATTTCATTGCTTCAAGATTAAAATCTCCTCAGAGAATTTTAAATCTAGAAGTAATAATTATATGAAGTATTTTTTCTCCTGCAGAACTATCTTACTTTGCTGGATGATGAAGATCACAGGCTGGAGTATCTTAAAATCCAAGATGAGCAGCATTTAGTAATAGAAGGTATAAAAAGGGCCTATAATTGGTTTACGCACTAAAACGGAATAGTTTTATATGAGTATATATATGGTTAATGAATTGTGTGTAGTACCCATTTCTCTAATTGCCCAAACTACACAAATATAGGCCTACTGTCCAAATATTTTATTTTTGGAAATGTTTTGAGAAGGAAGAGTTTGTTTAAATAGATGTCTGTCTTCATATATGTATGTATTGAAAGAAATACAGGAAGAAATACCAAAGCTTCAAATAATCTACTGCCCCTACAGTAATAACTAAAATACCAGAGATTTAACAAAAGTGGTGTGAGGCATCTGAGGCTTTTTCATTATCTGATTTTTCTTTCACTAATTTTACAAGAGTTCAGGTTATGATATTTGCATGAACACATTCTTACTCACAAAGCAAAAGGTGAAGAAAACTGCATGTTTCAGTCCATGTCAGGTTCATTTCTAAGATTTTCATTACAAGCTGCTTTTATTTTCACATCTGGAGAGAACCTAATGCATTTGGACTTGACTGCTTGACTGACTCTCGTCGTGGTGAAAAGGCACCGTAAACAATCTCAACCTTTCTTGTTTCAGTTAATGTCCATTGCTTCTCATCCTCCTGCCATGCGCTGTTACGCTAGGCAGTGCTATCAGTCACAAATACGTTAAGCCTTTGTCAAAGGTATCAGGGTGCACGGATCAGCTGAGTTTTCAGCTAGTTTGACTTGACTTTTTGTCTAACCTTTTAATGTGAGAAACAGAAGCGTACGTACTTAATCCACTCTACTGTTGTCCGTACATCACAGAGGCTATATAGAAATCCGGGTCTTGCATTGTTTCTGTGCAAGTTTCACTTAGCGTAGCTTTATATTACACCTCAGGTTGGTGTGCTAGATGGACTCATCCTTTTTGCCACTTGGCTCGGCTCATATTTAATCAATTTAAAATTGACAGAGTGGCTGATACAGTTCACTGTGTATCTGCATTAGTCACTAGGCACAGGAGAAGAAATGGGAATTTATGTGTAGAGAAAGGGGAGAGGGACTGTACCTTGCTGTATCAGGTGAAACAGAACCCCGAGGCTGGAGTTCAATAAACAAACCGGCATTAAGTCAACACTGCTGCTGACAGAGGCAGTCCGCCCTTCCTCTGTATATTATGCCACCTGCCTTACCCGTGGACAGCTACTTGACACCGATCTCATGAACTGGCTGTGAGAAGTGATCTAGTGAGAAATAACTCCCTCTTTTCAGCCAGTTCGCTGTATGGCTTGTGTCAATGCAAGGCAGAGGTTTACAGAGGGATACTATGGGGACGTGGTGGTAAAGTTAGTTTAGGAAAGCTTGTATTTTTTTGTCCTGCTTTATCTTGAAACACATGTAATTTGTCCCTGTTTTGAAATACACTTGAATCTTTTGTTGGTTCGTAATAACGAAAAATATTAGCGATCGCTCATGAAGTGAACAGATTTGTTCGAATCTGGGGGATCCTTATTAAGTATTAGAGTAAGTACTGAAAAATTTGTTATCCAACAGGAAAGAAATCTCAAGGCTGCTTTCTAAAGATGTTACTGGCATGGCTGGAATGATGCCAGTATTAGAATGATTTCCAATAATGATTGGAAACATTGAAATGAAATCTGGCAAAAATAATAACTAAAAATAAGCAAATTTCTCAATTCAATATTAGAAAATTTTAATTAGACCTCTGCAGCTGTATAAGCTCTCTGGAGTAAGTAACAAACGATTTAAAAAAATCCTTATACCATATCTCTTTCTAGTTCGAAACAAAGACATGAGCTGGCCAGAAGAGATGTCTTTTATAGCAAACAGCAGTAAAATAGACAGACATAAAGGTAAGTGTTTCAGCATAGTAATTGAATTATGATGAGAAGAAAAACTCAAGAGGCTATATTATGTTGAAACAATTCTTTTTAATATAAGTGCTCTTAACATTGGAAGAGGTCTTTTATGCCTGTGCTGCTTTGCTTGTTCTCTCTGCTCTATTAACTTAGTTGCTGGAAATGTGGGAGGGTTGGATATATAGATAGATAAATTTGTAGATGTTCAGAGCCAGCAGTAGCAAATGGTACACAGCAAATTCTTGATTTTGTGTTTATTATCTTGGATTTTTTTAAGGTAAGGAGTAGTTAAGATTTTAACAAATTAATCCAGAAATTTCAGAATCATCATTATTTACCTGAAAATAATTTGTATAGATTGTACTGATGTCCGTGGTGGATCAGATCCAACAAAATACCTCAATTTCTGTTAACTTAAGTAGAGTTAACAGAGCAGATATTTTGAACAGGCTGGTCCTCTGTTGCATCTGTGCGAGCTGTAGTCTCGTAATTGGGAGCGGGTTAAATTGCATTGGTTTCTGTGAAAAGGTCATACTCTTAACTTTACTGATGCACCATTCTGAATTTTTCATATCTGCACAATTGGTATAATTACGTTTTCTTTTTCCCAGTTCCTACTGAAAAGGGTGCTACTGGATTAAGCAATCTGGGTAACACATGTTTCATGAACTCCAGTATCCAGTGTGTCAGTAATACATGGGTTAAATTGCATTGGTCTCTGTGAAAAGGTCATACTCTTAACTTTACTGATGCACCATTCTGAATTTTTCATATCTGCACAATTGGTGTAATTACGTTTTCTTTTTCCCAGTTCCTACTGAAAAGGGTGCTACTGGATTAAGCAATCTGGGTAACACATGTTTCATGAACTCCAGTATCCAGTGTGTCAGTAATACACAACCTCTAACACGGTATTTCATCTCAGGAAGACATCTTTATGAACTTAACAGGTAATTTTCTATTTGAGACCATTGGCATTTTAGATGCTGTAACATTTCTTTAAAATGAGTTTCAGCTTTCGGAAGTAGACAGTATGAATACATCCTTTTTAAGTTCAGTGTTATCAGCCATCAGCTATACAGCAGATACTAGATTAGAAACATGAAAATATAACTTCTTTTGTTTCTGGGAGAGTTAAAACAGTTCAGCAAGAAGCCTTTGCACTTCCTTGTTTATCCCCACGCTTGAACTTTGTTTAAATTTTAGTATGGTATTAATTACGTCATGATTTCTAGGACAAATCCAATAGGAATGAAAGGACACATGGCCAAGTGCTATGGGGATTTGGTTCAGGAGTTGTGGAGTGGAACTCAGAAGAATATAGCACCGTTAAAGCTGCGGGTAAGTCTGTGATGTGTGTTATTTAAAAGTAGAAAGCAAGAATTTCTTTGAATAGCAGAAATCTCTTAATGCACTTTTTCCTGATGTTACCTGTATCGTAATGGTTCTGGGACTCAAATCAGTATCTCCCCTAGAGAAAGGGAAGGAAACTTGGACATACATTCAACGCTTTAGAAGTTGGCTGTGAAGCCAGTGACCATATCCTAGGCGGTCAGTCATCACGTATGTTACTCCAAAGTGGTCACAGAATTTGCTTTCTTGCCTGGAAGGAATGTAGGGGAGGTGTTCAGGAAGGGGCTGTGCAGGGGCAAGATGCACATCTGGAGGAGGCCAGGGTGCATCACTCTTGGTGCTGAGGACTTGAGCAGCTTTCTGTGGAATATAATCATGGTTCAGTGGCTGTAAGGTCAAAGGGGTTACCTGATATGAATCAGAGGTTGTGGTATAAGATGTGGCTTTTTATAGCCCTTGTTAGGGACAAAAGATTATGCTTTTGCCTGTAAATGGTCTTTTGTTCTGAAAGCATAGGGGCTTACCTTTAACTCTTGGCAATTTAATTTGTGCTCGTTGACAGCATGCGTCTTGTCTACAATATTTTGATTTATTGTTACAACTTCTGTTACATGATGTTAAATAACTTTCTGGCTTTTTTTGTAGTGGACAATAGCAAAATATGCTCCAAGATTTAATGGCTTTCAACAGCAAGACTCACAGGAGCTTCTGGCTTTTCTTTTGGATGGTCTTCATGAGGATTTGAACAGAGTTCATGATAAGCCATATGTTGAATTGAAAGACAGTGATGGTCGACCAGACTGGGAAGTAGCAGCAGAGGTATGGGTTAAAGGTTTGGGGTTTGTTTGTTTGCTGGGGTTTTTTTTCCTTATAGTACTAAGCTGCTTTGTTGGTGAGACTGTTGCAATAGTCTTTCAGGACTCTACTGTCTTTTGGAACTTGTTAGATCTGCGATTTAAGGAGTTGATTTCACCTTCGAACTGAAAATGAGTTTTAAGTATTATAATAATAAAGGTATAAAGATGATACTTCACAATCATTTTGAACAACTCCTCAGAATTACGGAGTATCAAAATTTTTCAAGATACCTGATCATCCTTTCAGAAGTACTTTAAATTATGTCATACCTTGATTATTGTGTTAATTGAAACAACTTTTCTTTACTCATGTTGAAACTAAATACTTCCTATTTATTAGAAATTGGTAAACAACTTCTATGGAAATAAGTTGACTTCCATAGGCCAATGAAACTTTGGAGGTCTTGCAGCATATCCTCCTTCCTGTAGTTCAAGCAAGTAGTATTCAGTTTCTAACTTTGTATTGTTTTTTTGTACGTCGTTTTAGGCCTGGGAAAATCATCTGAGAAGAAACAGATCCATTGTTGTAGATTTATTTCATGGGCAGCTGAAGTCACAAGTAAAATGTAAAACTTGTGGACATATAAGTGTTAGATTTGACCCTTTTAATTTTTTATCCTTGCCTTTGCCAATGGACAGCTACATGCACCTAGAAATTACAGGTGAGTAGTAGTGTTTAACTCCCTATAAACTTGTCATTGATAAAATAAAAATTGTATATGTAGAACAGCGATAAAACATCCAAATTTTGTTTGTGTTAGCACTTATGCTTAAAGATAGTATAGCCATTTTAATATAATAGAGCACAAGAATTTTCATTGGAATACAGGTAAACTAAAATAAAACCTTTAAAAACAGAGCATAGATGGCCTGTTTTCAGTCTTGACTAAAGGACTTAATGCAGAAACATGTAAAATGGAGATTCTGAGAACTTTCCTTCTGTTCACTGTGTTTTGGAGCTTGTCCTAAATCTGCCTAGAGTGAAAAAGAATGGCTGGGGGGAGTGTACAAACAAAAAATGCTTTATGGGTCATGAACTACACTATGAGGAACCCATGTATTGTTGGAAAAGAGGCAAAAGGAAAGATGATAAGAAAGTGAAACAAATTTTGCTACCATTTTCTACCACCTATGCAGCAAGGGGTTTTCTGACGTTTGTCTGCAGACCTTGAAAATTGGCTGATGAGAAAAAAAAAAACATATCTTAAAGTTGGGGAAAAAATACTTTTTAGTAAGTAAGTAGCTGTAATATATTATTCTCATTAAAACTTCCCTGGTTTGCTGACCAGTGTGTTTCTTTTCCCCTTTAAAGTAATTAAATTAGATGGTACTACTCCTGTTCGATACGGCCTGAGATTGAACATGGATGAAAAGTACACAGGTTTGAAAAAACAGTTAAGTGAACTCTGTGGGCTAAAACCAGAACAGATTCTACTTGCAGAAGTGCATAGCTCCAATATAAAGGTAAGAAGAAAAAAAAAAAAAATCATTACTGCAACATACTTTGGTATTTTTGTTTGTTATTTGTGTGCATCGGCGTACTTCTTCATTCTTTTTGACATTAAACTTTGCTTACAAGAACTGTGAAATAATTTAACTGAAAGCGTGATAAAAAAGCTTAGTTATATCTCTATATGAACTCTTATTTCATTCTTAAGCGGTATTTTGGCTTGCTTTAAATAGATTTAAAATCAAAGTAAACTGAACCAAAATAAACCACTTGTAAACAAAATTAATAGCAATGTAGAAGCTTGCAGAAGTTTAATTGAATTGATTACTAATGATATTTTTAGGAAAAAAAGGATAAAATCATCTTGAGGTAATAAATCTCAAGTTAGAGTGCTGTGACGAGTTTAAACACCGTCAAGACATTGGAGACATAAGTAAAGACTGGCTTAGCTCTATATAGTGTGTATGTATATGTGTATCTATATGTAATTTTTTTTTTGCTGTTGTTGAATAGGATTAAAACTGCTTGAAACTAGGTGCTCTCAGTCTGTTTAGAGAACCATGAATAACTCTCTCAGGTCTTGCTGCAGAGATCTGCAAAGCGGTGTGCTTGTTGGCTTCCTTTTTCATTTCTAGAAAGGTGTAAGAAAGCAAATGGGAGGGGAGAGATGAGCTGATAGATAAACTGTTTTCAAAAGAACAAAACATGTTCAGAGTCACAGGTGGAAGTATATACATGTCTGACTAACGTTCCCTTCTTTGCTGAAGAACTTTCCTCAAGACAACCAGAAAGTCCGGTTATCAGTGAGTGGGTTTTTGTGTGCATTTGAAATACCAATTCCAGGATCCCCTACATCAGCATCAAGTCCTGTGCAGACAGGTAAAAGACGACGTTTATTTTCCTGTTCATTTAAAATGCACAGTGCTTAGGTACTGGAGAAATTCAGGAGAAAGCCCTACTTCTTAGTAATAAGTAAACAGTGAGGATTAAAGAAAAGACAAAGAAGTCGAGTTCTGATCCACAGACAAGCTGTGAGCAGTCTCAGTATCTACTGATGGTCTGTGATCCTTTTTAGGATCATGCCCAGGATAGCAGTCTGAAGATCACTCTATACTTATTTTAGTTAAAGACACAAGAAACAAGGAAAATACTTTATTACTTGTGGATTGGCTCTAAGGCAGGACATGTCAAAAATTGGAAGCATGGTGTTCAGTTTTGGTTTTATTGTTTGTGGCTTCATATATGGGTTGTAAACACCTCTGTTATTCTTTGCTCTTGCATGCTCTGATTTTGCAAAATTGTAGGCAAATAAAAGGTTAGATGTTGGTCTTAAGGAGAGTAGAAGATATTTCATTAAATGCATTGAACAGAATGGAAAGGTTAAAAATCTTGTGATCAGTTCTGGTTACTGTAGATAATTGAGAAGGTAATTGTCTATCTACAGATGTCTCAACTGGGCCGTCAGCTAATGGAGCACCCAACATAATGATGAATGGGGACCTTCCTAAACCAAGCCTAATTCCAAACGGAATGCCAAATACTGTAGTGCCATGTGGAACAGAGCGTAACCTTGCCAACTGGACTCTCAACGGTCATGTGCCCTTGCTTTCTGATAGTCCATGTACAGGGTATATAATTGCAGTCCACAGAAAAATGGTAAGTAGATTTTGCATTTGTTATAAATTGTTCGTGTAACACACTTTGAGAGAAAGTCAGCGAGGATTTTTTTAATGTCCATATGATAAATTAGTATGTATTTGTTAAGAAGAGGAAGCATGAATACCTTTCCCTCTTAAGTGAGCACCGAGTTCTACAGAAACACAACTCTTGTAAATTTAAATCGTCATGTCTAATGTTGGTGTGTTTTTCTTTCCTTAGTACTGGCATGCTTCCCAGTTCTTTAATGCTGAGATGCGTACTTGGGCGTTCGCTAACTCCCTGATTAAATGTTCCAGATTCTTTGAGTAGAAAAAAATCTAATTAGAAGAGCTAGTAGAAATGCATTTCTTTCCCATTATGGGGAAAAGCCTTATTTCTCCTATGGAAACAGAGTGAAGATATATAGTACATTCCTGGGTCATTCTATTAGCATGAACTACTCTTTGCAAAAGCATCTGTAGTTAAGTTGAACGCTAAATGTCAAAGCTGGATGACTGAACACCTCAAACAGCCACACGTTCTGTGTGCGCTGTGTCCAGACTTTAGAGTCTGTTGATGTTTAGAGCCTGGTGGATGGGGGCCAGGAGGCCATTTAACTTCTCTCTTTACTGCATGTTTGCATGAGGCTTTTTTGCTTTATTCTCTCAAGTAGTGGCCACTAACCACTGTTACTGCTGTTATCTTGATTCAGATTTTGCAGAACCTCTTAGGTGATTGCTATAATGCTTTTGAGCCATTACAAGCTGCTAGTTATACAGCTTAAAAACCAGTAAAAGTTGTTTGTGGAAGCTATTCCAGGAATCCACGCTTGTCATTGTCAAAAATCTTATCAATGGAAAGGGTTAATTGTATAAAACTTATGCAAGGTGCAGCTGTTTGCTGTACCTCAGTGTCATTAAGTCAGTGTGTTAAATCTTTCTTATAAATGGGAGATGCAGCATGAAGGTTAGTTTGTCTGCTTGGAATAAGTTGCATACAAGTCTGTAGTGCCTCCTTTAGATGTAAAGGTTTTCTTTCTCTGGCAAACGTAAGCTTGCCTAGTGTAGAGGTCATTTTGGGACAGGTATTAGCATCATTAGGTGCATGTCTGCATTGCAGTATTACTGTGTGGTGGGAAAAGTAAGAAATATGCATCATATGAAATACAAAATATTGTACATGGTTGAAATACAGATTTATGTTGATGTGGTCTAATGCCTAAATAACATTGCCATAATATCATAAAATACAAAAAATTTTTCAGGCAGTTTCAAGTCAATGATCAAAATTTACAGTATTTACTATTGGAAAAAAGTGCTGAAATTGAGTACTTTTAATAGAATTAATGGTTTATTTTAATTGCCAACACCTGAAATAAGTAACAAGGTCATCATCCTAGTAATTATGGTAACGTGAGTTAAGGCGTACTTATATCTGACTCATTCTTTTATTTCACATACACAGATGCGGACAGAATTATATTTTCTTTCATCTCAGAAGAATCGTCCTAGTCTCTTTGGAATGCCACTAATTGTTCCTTGTACAGTTCATACACGGAAAAAAGACCTGTATGATGCAGTGTGGATTCAGGTTTCCAGGCTTGCTAGCCCTCTCCCGCCTCAGGAAGCTAGTAATCATGCACAAGACTGGTGAGTTTGGCATCTCAGTCTTTGGCTTGAATGACATTATACGGCGGCGTAGACTTGCTTACAAGATTTAAAACTATATTCATTCTTCATCTTTATCAGTTTTGACTTCTCATAATACTTCTGTTGAATGAACATACGTTTTTTAATGTATAATTAAGCTTTAAATGTCAACAACTTTAGGAACAATTGTGTGCGCTTTTACCCCAGATGCTTTCTGCCTGCAGATTTCATTTAGTGGGTTATTTTCGTAAGAAGTCGTTTTGGAGTCCTGCAATTTAATAATGGCAATAATTAAAAATAACTTTTAATCCTTTTTAATACAGTTAAACGTAGTATACCTTCTAGCTGCACGTAAAGGTTGACTTTATACAAATTGGTTAGTTCATTCTCATCCACTGATTGATAATTCATTATATCTGACAAATTCAGGCGATGTAAAGGCCGGTCTTGTTTTAATAGCTTAATCTAATCAAAATTATAATTTTGAGGGGGGTGGTGGTGGTTTTTTTAAAGTAAACATGGGTAGCATAGTGAAGGAAAGTAATTGGCAGTCTGAACGAGTGCTCACGTTTCATGTTGCATTCTCTTCTGTTTCAGTGATGATAGCATGGGATATCAGTATCCATTCACCCTAAGGGTAGTTCAGAAGGATGGAAATTCTTGTGCTTGGTGTCCATGGTACAGGTAAATTGTCCTTTTCAGATTTAAGGAAGGGAATCACTCCAGCAGAAATTTAATTTATGGTAACGGGTTTTTGATACACTTCAGAGGTAATATCAAACTATAAGAATCTAGAATCTAATTTAACCAAAACCCTCACATGGCAGACTTTTACTGTAGAATAGCTTTTATGACTTGGAGAGCTGAAAGCTCTGCTGACACAGAAACTTTAAATTAGGAGACAGACATGAGATTATCGGAAACCTCTTAACCCCTTACAATATTCTGTGTGCATGTGTGTATATATGCAGGTGCGTATGTGTACATATTTGGATGATTTGTGGGGGTTTCACACAAAACCAAACTTTTAGATGTAAATCATTTACCCTTGCTAGTTCCTGTGCCATTTGAAGAGTAAGAACTAAAATGGACAATAAGAAATTCACCCTAGAAGCACGCTTGGAATTTTTCTTAAACAAAGACGTGCTAATGAAAATTTCAGACCCTTGCTGGAAGGTATTCAGACCATATATACTCATTTAAAAAAAAAAAGTCTCTTACAGCTAGATAAATAAAGTACATTAGCTATCATGTTGTAAAATATTTATGGAGACAAAGCATTGTAGTTTTTTGGTGTCGTCAGTAGGCTTGGTCAGCATTATACGTGGGTAGATGGTTGAGCTCACCCAACCGCTTCTATTTCTCATCTCTATTAAAGTTTTGTAGTAAAATAGCAAACTGACACTGATTATTGTTTTATAAAAATGCCTCTCTTTTACACTGAAAGCAAGACCTGAAACTTTGGGGGGTGCATACGTTACAAAATAAGGAGCAGAAGTCACATTAAGAAGAAGAGTGTCACAGAAGAGAAGTGACATTAAGTCACACACTCCAAGTGTGACTTAATGTAAAACTGAGTTATTGGACAGTTTACTTACCACATCTAACTTTTCGATTTAGATTTTGCCGTGGCTGTAAAATTGAGTGCACAGAAGATAGAGCTTGTGTTGGGAATGCTTACATTGCTGTAGACTGGGATCCAACAGCACTCCATCTGCGCTACCAGACGTCGCAAGAACGGGTAAAATTTCAACACAAACCCGTTGTTGTTGGTCAATAGCTCTTAAGCACAACCCATTTCACCAATTTATTTTTTTTTTAATTGATGTTTCTTTTGTCCATTTAATGTTAAAATAAAGTCAGTAATTATTGAACAGTATATTCTGGATAAATTAATGTCTTCATGTTAGACCTCTTACGTGACCATAATGTGGAAGGGAAGCTTTTAAGAAACCACAGCAGTGTATTTTCTGTCTGTTGTGAGTTGCTTTTGATCTAGCCTCCACAATATATTACAAAATATGTTAATTTGATACATTTTCTAAGCACACCAGTGCTATAAACAGTTATGCATGTGAGTAAATCTATTTCCTCATTGAGTCAAGAAAACATATCTAAAGGTAAGCCTATAGCTGAGTTAATGTAGATCAGCTGTTCAGACTTGTGAGTTGAATCTGTAAACTTGTGCTTTATGAATAATTTTTTAAGCAGAACCCGAGAATAAGGACAGTGCATTATTTGTACATCTGCCTCTTCATAATTGAGATAAAATTTCTGCTAAAACTTAGTGCACCTAGTTTTTATCTTTAATCCTAAATAACTATATGATATTATTTGTATGATACTGTGAATAGAGCCTTCCTCTGAGCAGTTTGTATACGTTTCCAAGTCAGATACAGTTTTATCTCACTTTAGATTGTAGAAGAACATGAAAGCGTTGAACAAAGCCGACGAGCTCAAGCAGAGCCCATCAATCTGGATAGTTGTCTTAGAGCCTTCACCAGTGAGGAAGAACTGGGGGAGGATGAGATGTACTACTGTTCCAAATGCAAGACCCATTGTTTGGCCACCAAAAAACTGGATCTTTGGAGACTTCCTCCTATTTTGGTATGATCTTGTGTAATTTTCCTCTACAGCAACAAAACCAAAGTACATTGATCACAAATTTGAATTGCTAGGTATGTCTGCTTGTTCTGAATAAGAAGATTTGCTTTTGTTCACAGTCTCAGGAGGGGCATTGACTTAGTTTGTTTCATGCATTTCTGTAACTCAGGCAAATAAAACAAACCTCAAATCCTTTTTTGAATCTTTTTAGCTGATACATTGCAGGAAATGGTTGCGTTTTGCATTCAGTGTCATCTGTTCCGACATAGAATTCACGCTTATGCAGTCTTTCCAGTAACATGATCTTTTGCCTAGTTGTGTAACACCTGCATTTGTTGCTTTCCAAATTTGGTAGGTTATTCAAAACACACAGTGCTGATCACTGAATTGAAGAAACCTTTTCCATCATTTCTCCATGAAAATATTAGTTCCATATTTTACCAGCTTGATCCCAAAATCCAAATTGTCACACTACAGCATTGTTACTGTTTTTTATTAATATATGATAAAATGTGTATGTTTCAGGGAAAATTATTTTTAAACAGTGAAATTACTCACTGTGATGTAATTGTCCTCCTTTAATTTTCTCTAACATGTTTCTCCTTAGATCATTCATCTGAAAAGATTTCAGTTCGTAAATGGCCGCTGGATAAAATCTCAGAAAATTGTTAAATTTCCCAGAGAAAATTTTGACCCAAGTGCCTTTTTGGTACAAAGGGATCCAAGTCATTTTCAAAGAAAGCAGCTAACGCTCCAGGTTGACAGCCTTCCTGAACCACGGACTCTCCAAGGGGAGTCTAGAAAAATAGATCTGCAGATCACTTACACACCAGGAGAAGGAGATATACTGAACAGAAGTCCATCCTCCCTTAACACTACTGTCTTGAATAATATCAAAGGTAGGTAATTATTAGGGAAAATTCCAGTCAATACTGATATTTGGAGGGGGGGGGGAAATTACATTATGAACAAAATTGTAATGTTTCTTTGGCCAAGCACTACACTTACTTTGAAACACTCATTTCTGTTGTTGTTTGCCCTGGAAAGCTTAGTGAAGCTTTACCATAAAAAAAAAAAAGTTGTTACTCGGTGACAACAGATATTGGCACTGTCTGCTTGTGTAAGTGGGCTGGATTAAGTGTGGGGAATGTGTCCCTGCACAAAGTAGTTAAGTTTTAGTTTATAGGTGTATGTGTGTGTGTGTGCAAAAATAGTTTTACTTTTATATACTACTCATTAGTTGTAGTGAAACAGTGTTTTTTAATGTTTGGTTATTCAAAAAAACACTTTAAAAAAAAAATCTATAGACTATGTGTTTACTTATCTTAGTAGTCCACATGTTTTCTGTTTTAGCATCTCCGTCTTTGGGGAGGAAAAGTGGAACCAGCTGTCCTTCAAGTAAAAACAGTAGCCCAAATAGTAGCCCAAGGACTTTAGGAAGAGGTAAAGGACGTCTGCGGCTACCACAACTGGGTAAAAACAAACTGTCAAGTAGCAAAGAAAATTTGGATGCAAGTAAAGAGAATGGTACTGACCAGGAACAGAGATTTACTTCTGATCAAAGTGATGCTCTTACTAGAGGGCAGATTTTGGGTGGTAGCCAGAGTGAACTATATACTGCTCAGGACAGTGAGATGACTCTAGCCAATGGATACATCTGTGAGCAGAATGCATATAGTAATGGCAGTATCAACGGTCAAATTGATAACCATAGCGAGGATGATACTACAGATGACCAAAGAGAAGAAGTATGTGTTAACCCTATTTACAATCTATATGCAATTTCGGTAAGTTGACTTTTTTGATGCAAGTAAACTATCTTTATGTGGCATTGTTTTGACTAAATGCATTTACTGTATTGTTTTCATTACAAAAAGTAGGGATCTGTTGAGAAGGAGAACGAAGTAGAGCCATTGTCAGCAAAATAAATTTGCCATAAAACTGAGTACAACTGAAAAATATATCTCTGCATAATGTTTTTTCTGCTTGAGTACGTAAGCTTAGTCAGCTCCAGATGTATAGATTGTCATGAACCATTGTCACTCACTTAAAGATCACAAATTTGTGAATAATTTATTCTGTGAATTCTGAGTTTTGATGTTTGATCCAGACTTTATTTTCTTCTTCGTTTTCTTCAGTGCCATTCAGGAATTATGGGAGGGGGTCATTATGTCACTTATGCCAAAAACCCGAACAACAAGTGGTACTGCTACAATGACAGTAGCTGTAAGGTAAATCATTGATTTTTGTAGCAAATAATTTTTGTCTTGGTTACCTAGAGCCCAAGAGATTTACATCTTGTGAGAACTGTTCTTTGAAATCATGAGCATCTCAAAAGTTGTACTGAATAAATATTAAAATTGTTAACTGAAATTGTACGAGAGGTGGGGGTTTTTTTTCCAATTTACCATCTGTTCATCAGCTGCTACCATGGTTAAGGAAAGATGCTTATTTTGTGCAAAGATGGAAAAATTACTAAAAATGGAAGTCCAAGAATATTTTTTTCATGATGCTAGCAGTTTTGTATTCAATTACTGAATAATTACGTTCTGACATTTCTAAGTATTTGCATTTATCACTGTAAAATTTGTCATACTTTTCAAGTAAATAATGGAGCCTGATAACTATAATAAGGGAGACAGAAAATGGGATTCTTCTTGTAAACAGCCAGTTAAAAATACTGTTTGTAGGGCAGTTGCGTGTATTTTAAGCTCAGTGACAGCAACACAATTGTCCCATTGCGTATTTCAGAATGTTTTTCTCTTTTGCAGGAATTGCATCCCGATGAAATCGACACCGACTCTGCCTACATTCTTTTCTATGAGCAGCAGGGGGTAGACTATGCACAATTTCTGCCAAAGATAGACGGCAAAAAGATGGCAGACACAAGCAGCATGGATGAAGATTTTGAGTCAGATTATAAGAAGTACTGTGTTTTACAGTAAGCAGATGATCTTCCATGGACTGTTTTGAGAATGTGAGGGATAACATCCTGAAACTTACATTTGGCAAAAATGTTATTGAAACGGATAACCTAAGTGTAGTTGTTGTACCCTGTGATCTGAAAGCACAAAAGGAAAACCCTAATTAAATAGCAGTTAATATAAAGATAGTATTGTTTTGTTCTGTTATCTCAATACATGCTCTAAACATTTCTGATGTTAGGCATCAGGCTGAGACTGCCATTGGCCTTTAAATAAAATGGTTTGAGAAAAGCCGACTAGGACCAAATAAGAGCTAAATTAAATAGTCCAAATAAGAGCTAAACAAAGTAGTGTAGAGTTTACCAACTGTTCTAACAAACCCCTAAGGCTCTCTCTAGGTTTAAGATAATGGGGAAAAAAAAATTGTAGTGTTGTCTTTGGACAACATGATATTGCTACCTCCTTTTTCCTGCAGTTTTATTGCATTTTATTGGCAAAACAGGGAAAGCAAGAGAATGAAAAGTGCACAAATTTCAAGAATGAACATCAAGAGTAGGAGACGTTTCCAGTTTTGCCACCACTAGTGTGTGTCAGTTGCTTTCTTTCTGTATGTTGGGAGCACAACCAAATCATAATTTGAGAAGTGATTGATTTCTACACTTGAATGGTTTATTACAATTGTGTTTTCTCCACGTGTTGGCTGTGCAGATCAACATGTTTCAGGAATGGCTTTTCTGCCTGAAGAGTGCTATCTCAAACTTTTGAGATGCCTCAAGAAGAAACTTCAGGTTGAAGAGAGTAGTTGTGATTATACGCATGGTGTCTTAAAATGTGCACATTGCACAAAATGTTCCCAGCTTTTGGAAGGAAAGATGCTTGAGCTTATGTTTCATGACTGGTGTTGCTTTTAAATTTGCACTTTTAAAAATTCGTATAATTAAATTCAAAAACATAGTTTGTTTTTGTTGTTGTAAGGGCTCTGAAGTGAATGGCTGTGAATTATCCACTGTGTATTTCAAACAAATAAGAAGCTGTGGCTGTCAGGTAGCTATCGTAGCATTCATGGATGGTTTTTTTATTGGTTTTTCATAATTTAATGGAGTTTCTTTTTTTCAAAATTTGGTTGCCTTTTCGAATTTTCTTTTTTGCAACAGGTTATGCATATACTTGCAGTTAAACCAGAATTGCTTTCTGTGCCCTTGCAACATGCTCTTTTAAGTCAACAGGCTTATCGCATGAAGGAGAGCATGACTGAGTCTTAGCAGAGACTGGAAAAAAGATGGTTATTTTTTGAGTATTTCTTTAAACATTTTCAGTGTTAAATTGTTTGCATATCTGAATGAAGATAAAAGTTTCACTCTTTCGGCCTTTTGTTCTTCAGCTGAGTCTAAGCAGCTTACTAATTTTGTCATGTGTCATCTTCCAAATTCTTTAGGTTTTGTATCTTCACTAACAAAATTGGTACTTACGCGGTTGATCTCTGAAGTAAACGTTTGGATTAATTTTAATGTGTTTTACAAGAATGCCAAGCCTAACAGTAAGTTTATAATTTCCAGAAAGATCAGAGTTTTATCCATTTAAGAAATTATATCAGCTGATCTTGCTGTCTTTACTCAGGCAAAAACCTCCCTGCCTTTGTTGGAGGTCGTGTCTCCTTGAGGACAGCAGATCGGTTCCAAAAAAAGTATCGTCTTACTTGTAAAGTGTTGCTCCCTGTCCTATATGGTCTTTTATCTTTAAAGTGGTCTAAACATTGAGACTGAAGAAAAGCAAACATGACTTGTGAATTTCTAGGTTAGAAGCTTTTTCAGTACCCATTTGTCTACTCCTCCCTACGCAAACTCCACGAAAAGTGAAAGATTTTCAACTGATTTACTTTAAAATGTTTTATTTAAGCAGGTAGCACAATCTACTAATGTTATTTGATCTTCTGTGTTTGTTACATTGGTTGTAATTAATTTTTTTAAATTAAATTAATTCATGAATTAGTAGTAAATTTATTAAGTTAACTATTAACTACATTCACTTTGTAAATTATTGTATAAAACTTATTGACAATGCACTGACTTTAGAAAGATGTTAATGTACATAAATACCTTGTAAATAAAATAGTGTTGATGTACTGGAATATGAGCTGTATTAAAAAAAAAAGGTATCGGTAATTGTATATGGAGTGAACCTGTTTATCTGTAACTATATTATTCAAACAAATTAAATACTGTGGATGCAGATGATGTGTCACTTCTTGTCAGATAATTTTTAATAGCTGTTTTCCTGCTTTGAAGTTTCTGTAATGTTTTCATTAAGCTTAAATGGATTTGTCAATCCAGAAGATTGGAACATGTGAGTAAGCATACAGCAGTTCTTTGCAGTTTGTCCAGTGTAGCACTTACTTCTAAGTACCAAGACATTTCAGCTCTTCTAAGTTTTGTTTTTAAGTTATTTTAGTTTTCCTTTTAAGAACATTCTGTTCATTTTTTTAGCATTAGTCCATTTAATCCTATTTAAAATGTGTGCCTGTGTACATGAGAGAGAGTGAGACTTTTCCCTCTTAGAAGTAAGTCTGAGGAACCGGTGCACTGAACCACATCAATTCAGCGGTTCTCACATTTTTCTGTGGTGTAATTTTGATAGATCTGAAATGAGATCAGTGATGACTTAGAAGCACAGTGGCTGCAGATGGGATCCCTTCTTACCTACCCTTGAGAATCCTTCTGCGGGTTATTAAAGTGAGAAAAAAGGATTAAATGTCTTTTTAAATACTTAATTGCTTAACTTTTTAATATGTACTTGGACAATTAAAATTCGAGCTGTAATAATTTTATTCCCAATTCTCATGCTGTGGTAAATAAGGCTCCTTTTGAGTTTAACAGAAAAGTAGGTTAAAAAAAAGGCTTTGCTTCAAAATGTTCCAGAAAGAATGGGGTTATAAGAAAATCATGCAACAATTTCCATCATTGGAGAGTTCGATAGGAAGTTACGAGACAAATCTTTTAGTGGCATGTGCTGAATTTTTGCTTTCAGCTGGACCTGGGGCAGTGCAACGGTGCTCACAGCCACGCGGCGGCAGCGCTGCCTGCCTTGTCTGCTCTGCGAGCAGAAGCCTGAATTCGCGTTTCATCATGCGCTCTCACGAAAAAAGTTATTTTTAACCTGTTAAAATGAGAAGAGAAAACAAAACAAAGTTGATCTGCAGTGAGCGTTTCTGCATATTGCTTATTAGCACAGGGTTTTGCCTCACCAGGAGGAACAATTTCTGAAGTTAAAATTTTTTGCGTTACAATAGAATCTGAAGTAAATGACACGTAGTAATTCTGTGCGTAAGCGTTTGTTTAATTGTTCTTGTATAATGGATCAATAGGCATCTTAGGTCAAGCAGACTATCAGTTTCCATCAGATAGAAACAGCTCTCAACGTATGATTCATACAAAAGACGCAGAAGCAGAAGGAAAGTTGCAAGTTAAAAAATAAATATAGTTCTTAATAACAGGCCAAGAAATAACGCGTCTCTACTGCCTCGGTGCAGACGCCTGGTTGTCTCCAGCTAGCCGTTTGCAGAGGTGGAGAATGAAACTGCTACGTTCGCCAGCAGAGGAAATCCTTTCCTGTAGCTAAAGGAAGAGTCACGCTGTAGCACAGGTGGTCATCGTTTCCTCTGGTGTTGTTTTGTAACCTGTTAAGTCTGTAAATCGCAGAATAACCGGGGCTGGAAAAAAGGAGGCCATCTGCTCCATCTGAATGTTGAAAGTACGCCTCGGTTCACGGGTTGCGGCAGTTCCCTGTATGGTGGCTGTGGTCAATACAGAGGGCGATGTGTTTGGTTACTTTTTTTTTTTTTTACAAGTTGTGGCAAATGTGCTGCTAGGTTTCTTTTCTTTAAGAAGGGGAAAAACTTGAAGCCATCCTGAAGCCTGCTTTCTGGTACTACCTGCAGAAATAAGATGGAGTTCTAGGTAAACAGAGACTAACAATGGCTTTTTAGGAAGATACACTTCATCATGAATCCAAGTAACTGTGAGGTTAATGCTAATGGCAAAAAGTCCTTGGGAAAGTTTTGCAGAGGATACAAACTGAGTTTAGCAAGGTAAATTCTACTGGAGATGTGGCTCATTTGATACATTACTGCTAGAGGAAGCGCTCCCTGCGTGTGTCAGATCATAACACCGAGATTTGAGGATAGTATTTGGGCTTTTTACTCAGAGTTGAATATGAGATTTCTTCTAGAATCCTTTCCATTCATGCTGCACGTTTGGTGATATTATTTTAATGTATGCCAGTGTATTTTAGATGTATCCTACTGCTAGGTTGTAGTTGATGCAAGACTTAAGGCTAACAAAGTGGAAAGTCAAAGGCAAAAATCTTTCACTTAGTCACTGGAGGGGTAACAACTCTTGACACAAACGTGCAGGAGTAAGAGGTCAAAATGGATCTTGCTGTTGCTTGGATATGTGCACTTGCAGATGGATTGCAGTTTAGCAGTAAAATAAAACTTCAGAAGACTAATCCAGCTGTTGGTTCATGGGGTTTCTGAAAAGAAAGGAAACTAACTCCAATGGCGCTGTTAAGCAGACGGTACCTGAACTGTGTTTTCCCCTGAAACTCTTCTACTGCTCACAAAAGGTAAGTTTGATATTTTCTCAGTTGAATCCCTTGTTCAGTACTGCTGGTAATAGCAAGGACACTTATTCTTAGAAGACAATCCATTGCAAAAGTAAGTGAAGTGATCCCTTACATACATGAAGGTTTTGCTCTTGGAAGCCGTGCCTTGGGAACAAGGATCTGAAGGTACTTGATGTACAGTCTTGGTGTACTGGTATGTTCCTGCTGCTGCTCCTACATCTATGAGTGTTTGCTCACGTATTTTCTTCTTGATTGTATATAGTGTCGAGACGTTTCCTCTGAGCAGACACTGACTCTATGAGACTACAATTATAATGACGCTTTTTTCCAAAAAGGAAGTAAATCTGGTTGAGTTGGCAACTGGACCAAAGTCCAGAGTAGGTTGGTCTAGCAGGAGTCACATATTGCTTGGGGTTGTTTTTTTGAACGTTTCCAAAAACAGTGTGGTTATGTTTAGCTGGAAATGAACTATTGTTCTTATTTTATGGCCCTTGAAGACGCTAAATGGATATTTAACCAAGGATTAGTGTGCATCAGTATCACCAAGGATGATGCCAGAGAAGTTAATGTCTCTGGAAATGAAGCCGTCTCTTGCTGTATTTATCAGCTGCAATTGGAGCATTTGTGCAGCGTTAAATGATGACACTTGCTCAAGGCAGTCGTCTTTACCGCCCAGTGATAAATCTTCAGAACATTCACAGTGGTCGTTCTTCACAAGTGTGATAATTCCAGTGTCTGAGTCATTTGTGCATTTCCAATATTGATAATTTAATTTGAATCAAGGAATACGATCTATGGTTGCTCCTATTGTGAATTTCCTCTGTTAAGGCTTTTAGGTATTGAAAGTACAATTTGAAATAATTAAAAATTCTAATTACCGAAGCTGTTCATACGTGCTGTTTTCAGTAGTAAAGCTTTAATCAATTCGGCAGCGTACCAAAGGCCATTAAATAGATGAAGGGATTGTATCGCTGCCAAAAAAACTGCAGCCATTTTCTGCTGTTGAATGCCTTTTACTTCCCCGAGCAAAACTGTACAAGTTTCAGACGAGGACTGTCTTGCAGTTAGCAGAGCCCATTTTGTCAGGTAGGAGCAACTGTGAAATGAGCTGTGCTGGAATTTTGCCCACGTACCTGTATGTGTGTCTGAAGTGCTAAAAATACGTGGCCTACCCTTGAAGGTAGTTAGGTAGCCTTCCTTTAAACCTTGAGTGATGTCCATCAACAGAATGGCTTTTGGTCTTTCTCCTGGGAGGGGGAAAGACACAGCAGGGAAAGTACCTTCTTATGCAAAAAACTCTTATTTCCACTCCCTGTGGTTGGCACAGGAGATAGATTGTGTCTCTGCTTTTCTCTGTATCATAGATTTATCCGTTATCTACAGATCGGGGCCATTATGTGTCCTGAGAAAGCGCACCGAGGAAAGTACCTTTTCTTATGCAAAACTCTTATTTCCACTCCCTGTGGTTGGCACAGGAGATAGATTGTGTCTCTGCTTTTCTCTGTATCATAGATTTATCCGTTATCTACAGATCGGGGCCATTATGTGTCCTGAGAAAGCGCACCGACTGGGCACAGCTGCCCCGGCTGGCCGAGGGCCCATAGGATCAGCCTATGTATTAATTGCGGCTTTTGTTACGCTTTTTCCCTTAGGTCCACTAAATTGAAGCAAGAAGTTAGCAAAATACAGTCATCCATGCTTGCTGATTTATCGTTTCAGGAAAATAAAAACCTGACAGAAGCTTGGAAGATTGTGCCTTTTGTTTGGGAGAAGCCTCCAACTTCCTTGTTCATGTGTAAAAGATTTCCTGTTTGTGAAAATTAAAAGCAATGTTTGATAAGGTCCCTTTAGCAAAATCAGCCACAAACTAGAAAATATATTAAGGATGCTTCTGGATTTAATAGAAATCAAAATTTTCTGAGTGTATTTGTAGAATCTAGAAATGCTGCTCTCGCTGATGGTTGCTCCCTTCACAAGTGTCGGTAGCTCACGAAGAAACTAAAACAAATGGGTGACGTCCCAGCTTTTTTATCATATAGACACACAAACTCAAGATTCTTGGGGTTTTGGGGATTAAATAATGTTTATCATTGAGACAGACTTCATCGGTTTGCCTAGTTTTTGCAATTTAGTCCTTTTGTCTGGGCAAACAAAACCGGTAGGCTCTGAGGAAGGATAACGGAGCAGGACATCGGGGTGTCCGTAGGACACGTCATAGGCTCATGTAGTTGTTCATCTAAAGGCAGAGTTGAAAGATACCGGAAAATTGAGTTTAGTCTTTTATTTAGGTTTCATGAAAAATGACTTCAAGACTGAAAATCCCAAGGATAATTTCTATTAATTGGTTAAACCGCAGTTAATCGTTGCGCTTTAATGCAGTCGGTTGCTGGCAGCATTTGCATCTTGGGTGGCAGTTTGGCGGTGATGCCCCTGAAACAGGCATCGGGGATAAAACCAACCCAAGCCGCTTTGCTGCGTTTATTCAAGCCTGTGACAAGTGCAGAGATGACAAAAGCATGTATGGATACTCATTTGAAGACTAAAAAAAGATAAATAAGTGTGAAAAGAAGACCCATTTGTACAAAAGCACATCCAGCAGGCTCTGTCTGTTAATTGTTAGC